CAGCAGCCGAAGCTAGTACCTCCGTTTTGTCACATCTGCAAGACATCAGGACACCCACGCACGCACTGCCCGTCTCGACAGACAACACCACAGCGACAACTGCGGCCTTCAAGCACCCAAGTTGCTTCGACACAAGCAAGCTCGACAACCACGATTCAAGCTTCAACGACCTCAACTGGACAACCTGCACAAGGAGCAAGAAATATAGTCAATTGCATGGTCAAGATAAACGACTCTTGCATAACAGAGTCACCACCCCACTACTCACCAGAAGAGGAGCTCGACAACAGAACGCCTCGCCGCGAATCACTCCACCCGAATCCGACTTACGCCGCCATCGCTCAAAGTGAACCATCCGGCCAAGACACTTGGTTCTTGGACAGCTGCTGCGGGCAACACATGTGTTCGTCCGGGCGTTTCGTACAACGCGAACATCGACTCCAACGAGACGTGATCATCATGGTTGCCAACAATCAAAACCTGCGCACACGAAGACAGGGAGTGGTACAGCTTCAGTCAAGAGAGACAAATGTCATACTGCACATGTCTAAGGTACTCATCGCTGAAGGACTCGGCTACAACTTACTGAGTGTTAGCCAGTTGATGGCGAAAGGAATTCATCTGGAAGCCGACAGCACGACCCAGGAGTTCAAACTTTACCACGGGAGAGGCGGTCTCTACATCGGGAAGGCAGTGCTGAAGAATAACGTTTTCGTCCTCGACTTCGTTCCCGACCTCGGCACTGCAGACAGCGACGCCATTGTGAACTTTGCTGATTAGACACACCCTCCGGATCTCGACCCCGACTTCAGCCCGGGAGGTTTCTGGTACTCCCACACTATCCCTGAAGCAGAACGAACAAGAGCGTTAGCAACGATTCAACAAGAAGCAGAGGCGACAACATTAGCAGCAGCAACAACATCGGCAACAGCAACAACATCGGCAACAGCAACAACATCGGCAACAGCAACAACATCGGCAACAGCAACAACATCGGCAGCAGCAACAACATCAGCAGCAGCAAGAACAACGACACCAGTCACAGTCGACGAAGCACCACCAACACCCGCGCAACAGCTGAATCCGACTCAACGTGAAGTCCACCGAAGTGCCAACCTCGTCGCAAGCTTTTACTCCAACTCCGACGCATATCAGCGTTCACCCGGACACCGCGCCTCTAAAGAGATCTGGCACGCACGCACAGGACATCCAAGCAACACGGTTTTGAATAACACAATAAGAGCAGGAGTCCTCGACAAAGACTCTCTACTTCTACCCGATGGCAGAGAACTCCAGAAGGCACGAGGGACTTGCCTTCTATGTCCCGAAGCTGACTTACCTCATCGACCGTTTGCTCCACATCACAACCCGAGCGCTCCAGCGTACGCACCACTCGAAAAAGTCTACAGCGACATCCTCTACAATCGCGAACCAGGACAAGTCAACTACAACTACACCATCACCTTCATCGACGCCGCCACTCGATACGTCTGGCATCGCAACCTACCCAGCCGCGACATGGCGCTCGCAGCATTCGCCGCCTGGCTACCGATAGCAGAGAGAGAGTCTGGAACACAACTGAAAAGTTTTCAGTCAGACGGAGGTGGGGAGTACACCTCTCAGCGCTTCAAGCAGTTCTTGGCGGAAAGGGGGATCAAGCAACTCCTCTCCCTTCCCTACGCACATCAGCAGCAAGGTGTTGCAGAACGAATGAACAGGACCCTGCAGAACAGCATGCGCAAACTGTTGCGTGGCATGCGGCTACCCAACCACCAGTGGCCAGCAGCAATGGACCACGCTGTCATGCTGCACAATTTGTTGTCGTCGTCGTCACTCCCGAACAACGCATCACCGCATCTGCTGTGGACAGGGAAGCAGGGCAACACAAAAATGTTACGAGTCTTCGGGTGCATGGTACAGTACAGACCCCCAGAAGCACGAGCGGGAAGATTTTCGCAACGGGCACAGTGGGGACTACACCTCGGCATCGAGAAAAATTACAACGCATGGAGAATCTTCGACGTCCACACAAAGGAAACAGTGGCAGCACGTGACGTGATCTTCTACGAAAGACTCACCCTTCAGACGTACCTCGCCAACTTGCACGAGAATCGGGACCTCACCAGTGGTTTTCGTGGTGACCGAGCCTTCGCGTCAGCAGCGGACGAAGCAGACTGGGACGAACAGAACGTCGACAACGCCTCGGAGGAAGCCGGACCTCTCCCATACTGCTCCGTCGACGTGCCCATGGATGAGGATAATCCTCGCGACAGTAACAACGCCGAAATCTTCTACCGTTTCGCCGACGATGGTTACGTAACACCTGTGACAGTCAACACCAACGAAGCAGAAAGGGTAGGGCCAAATTTCATGCCCGACCCAGAAGCGGGAGACGAAGCAGCTTATCCCGAGGATCCAGAACTCCCTCGATACTCACAGACTGGGCTACAGATACTTGGTCTCGTCACCGCAGTCCATGGCGCCGGCATTCCTAAGGAGTCTGCGACGGTTCAACAGGCTCTGGGGGGGGAACACAGGGAGAAATGGCGTGAAGCCATGGACAAAGAGCTGAAGGCACTGGAGGAGCGCAACACCTGGAAAATTGTTCCCATCGGCGTAGCCCAAAACAAAACCATTCTTACCGGGAAGTGGGTCTTCCGTGTGAAGACGAAAGCTGATGGCACCATCGACAAATTCAAAGCCCGCTGGGTCGTACGTGGTTTCGACCAGGAGCACGGAAGAGATTACACCGAAACCTTCGCGCCGGTCAGCCGTCACACCTCACTCCGAATTCTCATCGCCGTCGCCGCCATGAAGAAAAGGAAATTACGACAAATCGACGTTGCGAACGCATTCCTCTACGCACCTGTGGATGCAGAAATCTTCGTCGAACTCCCGCACGACTCCCACGGCGAACCCAACCGAGTGTGTCAACTACTCAAATCACTCTATGGGATCAAGCAGGCACCGCGACTGTGGCAGCAGTACCTACACGCCCGTCTCACCCGCATCGGCTTCAAACAACTCCCGCATGACCAGGGCATGTATCGCCTCACAAAAGGAAGCGATTACGTCCTACTAATCGTCTACGTTGACGATCTCCTCTACATTGGTTCAACCGACGACATCGCCACGTGGTTCGAAGGGGAGCTTCAGAAAGACCTCACGCTCACGGTCTCCCCTACGGTTACGCAGTACCTCGTGCTCAACATCCGTGAGGAGGAAAACGCAATCTACCTAAGCGCCGAGAAGTACGCCGACACTATCGCGAAACGTTTTCGCCTCACACCAAGCGCCATCTCCACGCCTTACCGCTACACGTCAGGAACCGAAAAGGGGCAATCTACTCTACTCAAGCCCGCCGGCATACGCGACTATCAGAAGAAGCTCGGATGTCTCCTCTTTGCAGCAGTCACATGCCAACCTGATCTATCCTACTCCGCGAGCCAGCTTGCCACCTATCTCAAGAGGCCTGAAGCAGAGCATCTGGCGGAACTCGATCGTGCTCTCCACTACTTCGTCAGCACGGCGACGATCGGACTAACTTATCACAAAAACGTGACTACACCGACCAAGCTAATCGGCTACGTCGACGCCGATCACGCCGGCGACACCGATAACAGGCGCTCACGCACCGGCTATGTCTACCGCCTTGAGCCTATCGGTCCTATCTCCTGGCAGTCGAGTAAGCAGGAGTTAATCGCATTATCTTCAACAGAAGCAGAATATATTGCACTCTGCTCAGCCACCAAGGAGGGACTTTACCTTCGCGAACTACTGGAAGAAGCGAAGCTAGCCGAGTTACCCAGCTTCACCGTGTTCTGCGACAACCAGTCGGCAATTCGCATCGCCAACAAGAGCGGCTTCGCAAACAGGACGAAACACATCGCCCTGCGCTATTTCTTCGTGAAGGACGAGATCGAAAAGGGGAAACTCAATCTGTCATACTGTCCCACGTCTGAGATGGCAGCCGATTACTTGACCAAGAAGCTCGGGAAGCAGAAGTTCGAATACTGCATGCTGCTGACTGGACAAGGCCACGTCACCAGCAGCGACACTCCAGAAGCGAAGGGGAGTGTTGGAAACAATAAGTCTTAAGTGCGCTTCTGTCGTGTCAAAATCCAAGGCACCAAGCGAAGCAGTCCCAATCGAAGCATCGAGTCAACCTCGGAGGTTAGGGTAACCGCCTGGAGGTTACGAGAAAGTCAAAGGTCAGCGACCTTTGACTCGACATTTACAGCGCGACAGTTAAGGACACACAACTGACTCGTTACAGAGCAGTTGCCCGAGTCGCACTATATCGAACCGCAACAGCAATACAGTTATCTATCTATCCATTCGTATTCCCTGTACTCTTATATAAATCCTTGTATTTGCTTGTTTAATTTAATCTACTTTGCTCTCACACACCAGTGCAAGGTCGGTTCACAATCCTCATTAAACGCTTCCGCTATTACAAGTTTCTACCCTAGAGCTATCCTCTGCAAAGATCCTAAGGGCTTTTTCTCAGCCCAACACTGAGGGGGTTAGCTGCAGACATAAATACCCTGCTCTGTCATTCCAGTGCATCAATGAATTCCATTGCAAACTTTCTGTTCTGTCTTGTTATACAATCAAGGCTTCCGCTACGACGGCACTATGCCTTTCCAGCAGACCTTAACATCAATTGGACAAGTAACCAGTCGAATTCACAAATTCTAAGTACCAGCAAGTATCTATAAGAATCTAAATTCATCTCCTGATTCCTCCAGCATGCGTATTTCCTTGGTGATTCAGGCGCCAGAAAAACCAACTCCCAACAAGTATATTTGTTACCATCTCTCTTGTTGTAACCCTACATCTCCCATCTCCTCCCAAAACCACCCATCTATCCTCACAGCCCTCACCTCCAGTTCCTCTTCTCCGCCTCCCTCTCTCTCCCCCCCCTGCATTTCCATAACTCTGTCCTGTTTCTGAGGCACCTGAAAAGCACACCCAACCTCCATCTATCCTTGCAGCCCTCACCTCCGGCTCCTCTTCTCTGTCTCCCTCTCCCTGTCGTCCTCATCTCTCTCCCTCAGCCTCCCACGATCCTTCCCACGCTCCCTCTCTCTTTCACGCTCCCTGTCCTTCGCACTCTCCCGATCTCGCTCCCTTTCTCTCTCCCTGTCTTTATCCCTATGACTATCTCGGTGCCTGTCGCGGTCTCCTTGCCGTTCCTTGTCCCTCCCTTTCTCCCCATCTCTACTTCTCTCCCGCTCCTCCCGATCCTTCCCCCTCTCCCTATCCCTATCCCTCTCTCTTTCTCTATCCTTACCACTCTCCCTCTCCCTCTCCCTGTCCCTGTCCCTCTCTCTCTCCTTACCTCTGTCCTTATGCCTCTCACCACCTTTCTCATCATCCCTATCCTCACAATCCGTTTCCTTCAAATCCCGATCTCTTTCCCTTTCCTTCTCCCTACCCCTTTTCCTATCCTTCTCCCGTTCCCTCTCCCTGTCCTTATCCTTCCTACTCCTCTCCTCCCTCCCCTTCCCCATCTCCCTATCCTGAGACTTATCACCCTCATCACTACCTGAGTCCCGCCCTTCCCCACTCTTCTCCCTCTCCTCTCTTTCCTTCTCCTTCGCCCTCCCTCTCTCACGATCTCTCGCTCGTTCCCTCTCCCTCTCCTTTTCCCGCTCCCGCTCCCTGCTTCTACTCCTGCTTCTGCTCCTGCTCTTGCTTCTGCTCCTGCTCCTGTTGCGTCCACGTTTGTGCTTACTTCCCTGCTGCTCCTGCTGCTCAGAAGAGACCACATGCCTTTTGCTCCCTTCACTCCCCTCATCTCTTTCCTCCCCCCCTGCTGCTGCCACCCCCACCTCCTCCCTTCTCCCTGCTTACCGTGAGAGACAAATCAAGGCGAAGGTGATTGCAGCGAATGTAAGCGGATGTGATTGTAGGAAGGGTTCGGAGGGGGACGATGGGATCCAATCGTGGTGAAGGTGGGTCGAAAAGAGAGCCAGGGGTGGTTAGAAAAACGTATCACAGAACCAGAAAATCCAAACAGAAGATCTCGAAAGGAAAAGGAAGGAAATCCAGGAAAAATGAATCTCTGAAAAAAGCAAGCATCAGTAGCGTACCTGGAGTCCCAAGGGGTGCGCCATATGCAGCCGACGCTTGCCGCCCGCTCGACGCCAACCGCCCAATCATGGGCGGCCACGTGCCAGCAGCCATTTCCTCTTCAAGCTTCTTCCTGTGCGCCGCAACTTTCACTTCCACCTCAAACGCCTTGAAATGCTGAGCCTCTAAAGCATCCCTAAATTCCAAAACTGCTAGCTCTAGTTTCCTCTGCTTTGCCCTCCTCTCCTCCTCCTCCTGCTGGTCTTGAAAGTGCATCTGCCAGTTACCCTGGATACCGCCTCCCCCAGAAGAGACAGAGTATCGGTGGGCGGCAGAGGTGCGCCGGGGTGGTGAGCCTTCTTCTTCGTCTGACGAGTTGTATGAGACAATCGAGGCAGCTTTAAAGGGGGACGGAGCCGCAGCACCAGCGGAATGAGAACCATCCGCAGCATCACTCCCACCTACCGATTCCCTCGTCTTCTTCCCCTTCCTCCCTCCCCTCTCGTCATCATCCCCCTCCTCATTCCCCTCTTCATCCTCTCCCTTTCCTCCCCCCTCCTCATCCTCATCCTCATCATCCTTATTCCACTTTGACTGGGGCAAACCGACCGCTTTCTTTTCCAACTTAAGCTTAACCGACTTGAGAAGCGGACCCAGCTTCTCCAATTTCTCCAATTTCGATCCAAAGGCTTTCAGCTCCGGTGTAGGCAGGACAAACTTCTTTGGCAATGCAGCACCACCACTATCACCAGCAGCACCAGCCTTACCCCCCTCCCCACCCGCATCGCCCTTGCTCCCTTCCTTCTCCTCCTTCTTCACCTCAACCCATCCCGACCACCCCACACTCCCTTCCATTCGCTTCGCGATGCTCGCCCTCCGAGCCTCTGCTGCAGCTTCGGCCGCAGCAGCAGCCGCAGCAGCTGCCTCAGCTTCGGCAGCCTTCTTTGCCTGTTCAGCCGCATCCAACGAAAGCAGCCGAGCCACCATGATAGGCACTCCCCCTCGGGTTGATAAGCCGTTGTGCTTGCAGCGACGCTTGAGCTCCACCAATGGGAGTGCGAGAAGCTCCTTTCGGGCTGCCTCCTCTGGAGAGACCGGCACAGAAGCCTCTGCTGCTGCTGAGTCTCCCTCTGCTGCTGATGCTGCTGATCCTTCCGCAGAAGCAGCAGCAGTGTCACCACCACCACCAACACTGTCCGCACCACCGGCACCAGAACCAGCAGCAGCAGCGCTATTATTTGCATCCTTTGACCCACCAGCCCTATTCCCAGCCCCGCCTTGCTCCTCCTCCTCCTCTTCATCCTCGGGCAGAGTGTGAAACGGCGGCACAGCCGTCCCAACCGCCCTCAGAAACGTCATTCTAAGCCCGTTCAAATACGCTTCGGAGAACAAAAACCAATCCGCCCACACCTGAATCACCTTCAGGACCCGGTCCTTCAGAGCTTCCGCGGTCATCCTGCCCGAAACGGCATTCAAACAGTCGTTAAAACTCTCCATCACGTCGGGTAAATACCCCTGGAAAGCGGTCCGGTAGGCTGATGCGTTCCGGACCGGCGCAGATGAATTGTGGAGGATATCCGATACAAGCATCAGGCGCGCGACTTTAAGGGGGATGGGCGTTTCGAGCAGCGTGAGGGACTCGATAAGCACTTCGACTATGTCTGTGGCTGCTTCTGCGTGGTCGAGAGCAAACGCCATGGCATTGCAAATGTCCTCCCTCTCGAGAGAGAGACGCCTCAGCAAGTCCTCAAACTTGTCCCGCTGCTTCTCCGTTAGGGAGTGCTCCTGAGAAGGACACAGGGTGAAGACAAGGCAGGAGAACAAATGAACAAACAGTGGTTTAGAGCGGTGGAGGGAAGTGAGCGACTCTATGAGCACCTCCACCACATCGAAAGGTTGCTTCTGCGTGGTCGAGAGCAAAGGCCATGGTGTTGCAGATGTCATCCCTCTCCAGCAAGAGTCGCCTCAGAAAGTCCTCAAACTTGTCCCGCTGCTTCTCCGTTAGGGAGTGCTCCTGAGAAGGACACAGGGTGAAGACAAGGCAGGAGAACAAACGAACAAACAGTGGTTTAGAGCGGTGGAGGGAAGTGAGCGACTCCATGAGCACCTCCCCCACATCGGAAGCTTGCTTTTGCGTGGTCGAGAGCAAAGGCCATGGTGTTGCACATGTCCTCCCTCTCCAGCAAGAGTCGCCTCAGAAAGTCCTCAAACTTGTCCCGCTGCTTCTCCGTTAGGGAATGCTCCTGGTGGGAAACAGGGGAACAGCGGGGAGGAATAGCAAAAGAGCAAATAAACACGCAGTGGTTCAGAGCGGTGGAGGGGAGTGCGCAACTCTATTAGCACTTTAACAACGTGGAGGGGAGTGAGGGACTGTATGCGCAAAGGCCATGGCGGTGCAGATATCCTCCCTCTCTAGAGCTACGTTGGCAGATACGCGTATCACGTATAATACGCTAGCGTAATATACGCTGGGTATATACGCCATACGCCATGGCTGGCGTACGGCTGATACGCTAAAATACGCTGGGCGGGCAGGAAAAAACTTTTTCCCGGGCAGATTTCGCCCTAGAACTGTAGGGAGTAGGGGCCGCCATGGCGAGGAAGTACTAAAGCTAGGAGAGTTTGAGCTCGACGAGAGTCGGACGAAATGCAAGATGAGAAATGCGGGATTGAATGAAAGAGGAGCTGTTTAGGGATTGAGATGTTCGAACGAGTGAAAGGGGGGAGGTTGGGTTTGGGAGGTTGAGAGGGGTGGTGTGTGGTTGGGGATGTGGGAGGGGTTGAATTTTGAATTTCGAATTGCAGACAGGAGTTGGGCTCTGTGCGAGGTCGCGGGTTCAATTCTCGCTGTCGCTCATTCTTGCAATTTTTTATGGATTTTTTTTTTTTTTTTTTTTTTTTTTTACCGGGCTGCCCCGTCGTATTTTAGGATTTCCAGGCGTATTAGCGTATTGCGTACATACGCTAGCGTATATACGCAATACGCCCACCCCCCAAGGGCGTATCTGCCAACGTAGCTCTAGAGAGAGTCGCCTCAGCAAGTCCTCAAACCTGTCCCTCTGCTTCTCCATCAGGGAATGCTCCTGAGGGGATAGGAAAGGGCCATGCACAGGGAAAAGCAATGGTGGGAGAACAGGCTCCAGCCAGACTTGTCCACCCAAAACTGACGACTGAGGCAAGGGGTGCGTAGAGGTACAATTCCTATGCTCCCCCTTCTCTTAGCTTGCATTACCCCCAACAACATCCGCACCTTTGGCTTCCCTGCAGCGTAGGTGGATGGACCCGCCCTTGTCCTTGTCCAGTATAGTGGCCCCCATGAGCTCATCCGTCCTGGGCAGAGGAGGCGAACAAATAAATACCCATGCTCCTTTCTCTTACCTTATGTTAACCCCACAAACGTACCTTAGGTTTCCCTGCAGCGTAGGTGGACCCGCCCTTGTCCTTGTCCAGAATTGTGGGGCCCACAAGCTCGCCCATCTTAGGCAAAGGAGTGTACGCATACCTATGCTCCCCCACCCTCACACCAGCATACCTTTGGTTTCCCTGCAGCGTAGGTTGATCCGCCCTTGTCCTTGTCCAGAATTGTGGGGCCCACGAGCTCGTCTGTCTTGGGCAGAGGGGGCGGAATCCACCTGCCGCTGCCTGATATCATGATGTAGGGATCCGTGCGCCACCGCTGTAGGGTGTCTCCCTGTTGTGACGGACATATACACAGTACATATGGAAAGAAAAACGAGTCAGGTTATACGGAGACTGAGAATAGAGCCTGCTAGAGGGGTGAGATCCACCTGCCGCTGCCTGAGATCATGATGTCGGGGTCCGTGCGCCACCTTTGTAGGGTGTCTCCCTGTTATAACAGACACGGCATACAGGAAACATAAAACGAGACAGGTTATAATGAGTACAGACTGGCTGTTAAAAGCGGCGGAGCTCCCTGTGATCATGATGTAGGGTTCCCTCCCCGCCACCACTGCAGGGTGTCTCCCTGAGTGGAGAAAGACGCACGCGTCCTGCTGCGTCCTGCGTCTGGACGCTGCGTCCAGACGCAGAGACGCAAGACGCGCGTCCAGACGCAGGACGCACCCTGTATATTTTTTCCGGGCTGACCGGAGAAAAAATTGTTGCCCCAGCGCGAAATTGACCCTAACGATTTCGACGCGACGTCAATTTCACGTCATGTCGACCCCCCCTAACCCATTTCGACCATCAAAAACACCCTAGAGGGTTTACCAAGACAATTCTCCTTCGTAAACCCTAAACCCTGGAAATTTGAAGAGGACGATTTTGCCTCAAATGTGTGCATCGTCCTTCCCCCCCCCCCCCCTTCCCATACCCTACAACATCATTTTTCGGCTGCCCGGGGGGTTTTTTTGCCCTGCCCGGGCATGCGTCTTTTCATGCGTCCTAAAGGCCCTCCTCTAGCGTCCTGCGTCTAAGACGCTGCGTCTGGACGCATGCGTCCTAGACGCAGGACGCGTCTTTCTCCACCCTGCTGTGACACACATGCATACGGGAAGAAAAACGATGCAGGTTATCATGAGACTTGCATTGCATTAGCCACTGCCTGCAATGTATCCCCCTGTCATGACACGCATACGGTCACCATGTGCCAGTCTTGCACCACAGACATAGCGTGGCAGCACAGAAAGAGCGCTGACGTTTAGCATCAATACCTGCACGAAAGAGAAGACGCGCCACTCATAGTAGGTATGATCTGGCGAGCCAAGGTCGAAGAGGAAGGAGAAGAGCGGGTTGCCCCTTCCTGCGGCACATGGTGCTCCAGTCCCGCAGGGGAGAAGCACTGCATTGCATACCACATAACCGAGAGACAGAGAAAGCAACTCTTACCTGGGCGAAGGAGAAGACACACCAGACGTAGTAGGTGTGGTCGGGCGAGCCGAGGTCCAAGAGGAAGGAGAAGAGCGGGTTGCCCCCCTTGCCTTGCCTCACCGTGCAGCTGCAGGCTGCAGCTCATGGCGCTCCAGCCGCTCAGGGGAGAGAAGCACCACATAACACATACCCGCAAGAGGGATAGAGAGCGAGTAGCTCACCTGGGCAAAGGAGAAGACGCACCAGACGTAGTAGGTGTGGTCGGGCGAGCCGAGGTCAAAGAGGAAGGAGAAGAGCGGGTTGCCGCGGCCGCGCTCCATGATGGCCTGCTCCAACATGCACCCATCCCCCCCAGCCCGTACAGCACATACAGCGCCAGTGCGCCCCCTATGCTATGGTATAGGTCCCACACAGAGTGCAGCTCACAGGGTGCCAGGGAAACAGGGGAGAAGCACTCAGAAATAAGCACCTACCTGTGCAAAAGAGAAGACTCGCCACACATAATAAGTGTGGTCGGGCGAGCCGAGGTCAAAGAGGAAGGAGAAGAGCGGGTTGCCGCGGCCGCGCTCCATGATGGCCTGCTCCAACATGCACCCGTCGTCCAGCACATACAGCGCCAGCGTATCGATGACGTGGCGCTGATGTGGATCCTTGGGCGGGACTATCTTGATGTCTGGCACGTTCGGCGTGATGACCTGGAAGTGGAAGGGGGCAAAACAAGGGGTAACAAGAGTAAGGAGGGGTGAAGAAAGGGTAAAACGCAAGGAGTGAAGTAAGAGCAACATACCTCAAACCCCAAACCCCTGGACAATGAACCTTCATTGAATAATCACCATGTTGATCGCAGCCGCAGCCGCAGCAGTGGCGGCAGCAGCAGCAAGCCTGTCAGTGCTATTAGCAATAGCAGCGCTGTTGGCAGCAACACACCCCATGGATGGACGATGAACACTCAATGAACACACACCACCTCCGCATTCTCTGCTCCCAGGCTCGCCATGTTAATCGCAGCCGCAGCAGCAGCATCAAGCAGCCCGGTGCTGTTGGCATGACAAACTGGCAGCAGCCAACCTCTGGACGGTGAACTTTCACTGAACACTCACCACCTCCGCATTCTCTGCTCCAAGGCTCGCCATGTTGATCGCAGCCGCAGCAGCAGCATCAAGCGGCCCGGGGCTGTTGGCATGACAAACTGGCAACAGCCAACCTCTGGATGGTGAACTTTCACTGAACACTCACCACCTCCGCGTTCTCTGCTCCAAGGCTCGCCATGTTGATCGCAGCCGCAGCAGCAGCGGCAGCAGCAGCAAGCGGGTCAGCACTATTAGCCAACAGCCAACAGCCAACAGCCTCCCCGGAACACTCACCACTTCCGCATTCTCTGCTCCCAAGCTAGCCATGTTGATCGCAGCAGCAGCAGCAGCAGCAGCGGCGGCAGCAGCAGCAGCAGCAGCGGCAGCAGCAGCAAGCGGGTCAGCACTATTAGCCAACAGCCTCCCCAGAACACTTACCACTTCTGCGTTCTCCGCTCCCAAGCTCGCCATGTTGATCGCAGCCGCAGCAGCAGCAGCAGCGGCGGCAGCAGCAGCAAGCGGGTCAGCACTGTTAGCAATAACAGCGCTGTTGGCAGCAACAGCCTCTCCTGAGTTGGGCGGCAGCTCCTTGGGGCGAACTGCCATCTGGCCAGGGGGAGGCGCCGGGAGAGCCGAGGCAGGCAGCGAGACGGCCTTGCCCCACCCTATGCGGATCTCATACTCATACACCACCATGCCTGCTTGTGCGGGGTGGGGTGATGAAAGAATAGAGTACTTAAAAGAGATGACTAAAAGGCAGAGAGACCGCTTTGCCCCAACCTCTTCCCGCCCAGCCTCCAGCATTGCGCTCCACCAATCCCCACCATTCCCCCATTCTCCACCTCTCCCCACACGCCCTCACCCCTTCCCCCCCCCCCCCCCAACCCCTACTTCCCAGCATGTACAGTCCATCTCGTTCTTGGCCTTGGCAGCATCGGCGCGCTTCATGAACGCCACGGACCCGCAGTTGCCTCTTAAACCGCCTATGAGCCCTCTCCAGAACATCCCCCCCCCCCCCCCCCTCCCTCTCTCCTCCATGCACCATCTCTCCAAGCCCTCCCCCGACCCCCCCAGCATGTACAGTCCATCTCGTTCTTGGCCTTGGCAGCATCGGCGCGCTTCATGAACGCCACGAACCCGCAGTTCGATATTTTGAGGCGCCTACATAGCCATTCCCAAACATCCGCACTATTCTCCCCCACGCCCCACCTCTCACCCCATCCCCTGCTCCCTCCTGACGTACAGTCCATCTCGTTCTTGGCCTTGGCAGCATCAGCACGCTTCATAAATGCCACAAACCCGCAGTTGCTGCTTGATGCGCCTCAGAAGCCATTCCCACCATTCTCCCCCAAACTCCACCGCTCTGCCCCCCAGCCATTCCCTGCCATGTCCCCCCACTCTCCCCCTTTTCCCCACATACAGTCCATCTCGTTCTTGGCCTTGGCAGCATCGGCGCGCTTCATGAACGCCACGAAGCCGCAGTTGCGCTGCCGCCGGTGCTCCTCCTCTGTGCGCGGCCACATGATCTTCACACTCGCTATCGGCCCAAACCGCCCAAACGTCCGTAGCAGGAAATTCTCATCGACCTGGAGAGGACAATGATGATGGGGTGTGGGGGGGTGAAGGGGGAGAGAAGGTTGTTAGAGCATGGCTTGCCGCCGGTGCTCCTCCTCTGTGCGCGGCCACATGATCTTCACACTCGCTATCGGCCCAAACCGCCCAAACGTCCTCAGCAGGAAATTTTCATCCACCTGGAAAACAAGGGAGGGGAGCAAAAGGGCAGGGATGAAGGAGAGTGCGGGGAGGTTGGTGCGGAAGAGTGCTCCTCCTCTGTGCGCGGCCACATGATCTTCACACTTGCTATCGGCTCAAACCGCCCAAACGTCCTCAGGAGAAAGTTCTCGTCCACCTGATGTGGGGAATGAGGGTAAGAGAGGAAGGAGACTAGCTGGTGATGCACTGCTGGTTGCCGGTGCTCCTCCTCTGTGCGCGGCCACATGATCTTCACACTCGCTATCGGCCCAAACCGCCCAAACGCCCTCACAAGAAATCTCGTCCACCTGTCAATGAATTTATTGGAGGAAGGAGGAAACGAGAGGAGGAGGACGGGAGGGAAGGAAGCAATGGGTGTGGGTTACAGCCCCTCCAGTGGTGCTCCTCTGTGCGCGATCACATGATTTTCTCTTCACACTCGCTATCGGCCCAAACCGCCCAAACGTCCTCAGCAGGAAATTCTCGTCCACCTGAACAGGGATGCAAAGGAAGGAGGTGGAAGAGAGAAGAGGAATGGAGGGAAGGAAGCGATAGCAAAGAATAAAGCCCCACGCGTCCACATGAAGGGAGTTTTTGAGAATTCTCAAAAACTCCCTATAAAGCCCCACGCGTCCACATAATCTTGACACTCTCTATCGGCCCAAACCGTTCAAACGTCCTTTGCAGAGAATTCCCGTCCACTTGGGATGATTTTAATCTAGAATTATTTCCATCTAGGCTCAAATCTGGTGGACGACATTTCACGTGGTAAGACACTGGCCAGCAGTGGCACGGCACTAGTTTAGCGGGAAATATCCCGAGCTGGTGAAATGGACATGAGGGAAGACGTAACCCATCACCAACAGTTACATGCCACACTCCAGGCCGTGGTGAGAAGGCGACCCACTCTCACCACTCCTAACTGACAACTCACCGTTATGTATTCTGTTCTTACTCACTGAGAAACCCTATCATCACCTGTTGCATTGCAAGCCACGCCCCAGGCCGTGCTTCACGCCTTACCTTGGGAGACAGGTTGCCGACATAAAGGTTGGTGGTGAGGGGGTCTCCCCCATCGTCGGTGGAAACAGTGGTGATGCCCGGAGGCGTGGCAATGAGGGGCGGGCCTGTGTCGAACTTGGACGGCTGCATGGATAGATGGAGATACAAGGGTATGGGTTTTGGAGAAAGGGGAAAAAGGGGGGGAAGACATGGAGAATGTCAGTGCTCTAGGAAAAGGAGCAGGGATGAGGGGCAAGAGAAGAATACATAAAACATATTAGGGCCCAAACACAACATATTTAGAAAAGGAAAACACTAAAGGGGATGGTATGATTACTAAAGGGGTAACTTGGGCCGGGGGGAAGGGAGAGCGCACAAGACAAGACAGGCGACAGATTCACCCTCCTAAGCCGACAGATCTGTGCCCTCACTCCCCTGCAGCGACATTTTCTCCCCATTGCCATACATCAGCAACAGACAGGGTACAGAGTACCAACACTCACCCTTCTTCGAACCCCGTCTGGGAACGGTTGCAGCAGATCCGTCCCCTCACTCCCCAGCAGCGACGGCTGCCCCTCGTTCCCATACGGCTTGCCTGCCGCCCTCGCTTCCGCTCGCTCTTTGAGCTCCTTCTCCCTCTGCTCGCGCAGCTCCTGCTCCTGCTTCAGCTCCTGCATGAAGAAATCGATGTTGCGCGGCTTCTTCTGCTCCTTCGCCTTTGGCACGGGCTCTGCTGGTTTCTCTGGTTCATCCACCCCGAACGGCTGAATGAAGGGAGCGAGGGAGAGACGGCGGGAGAGACAGAGGGAGGGAAGGAGGACGGGAGAAAGGGAGAGGTGGAGGAGAGCGACGATTAGGTGAGAGAGGATAGGTTTTGATGATGATCTTCCTGGTTCAGAGAGACAAAACAGGATGATGGAGAAAAGGTGGGAGAGGGGCGGAGTGGGGGCGGAGGGGACAGAGGGGGGAAGGGAGGGAAGAGCATGACAACGGCCAGCAAGGCTTGAAAATGACTGGTTTACAAATAGGGACCATTTCGGCCTTCGAAGTGAAGAAAGGGAAGTAGGCAAGAGTGACCCTGTGCAGTCACCAGACATGGCCCTGCTACGACACTATGAAGAATTTGAAGCGCCCAGAAAGTGTTTGATTGAACATGCATGGTTGTATAAAATTTTGAGTCGACTGATATAATGTGCTCGGTTGATGATAAAGGCAGCCAAAACGGAAGGAAACGCGCTGCACCTACATTCTTGTCCTTGGATAAAATTCCAGCAAGCGGGCTTTGCGACGGAGGCGGCAGGAATGACGGAACGTATCTGCCATGCATACAGCACCATACACGTGACGAGCAGAGGAGCAAACGAACGGCGAGGGAGGGGCACAGGGAGGGGCACGGGAAGGAGCACGAGAAGGAGAACAGGAAGGAGCACAGGAAGGAGCACAAGAGGGGACTCGGACACGAAGAGAGAAAACGAAGGAAGGCAAAACGGAGGGACGAAGACAAAACAAGAGGCGGAAAGGAAGGCGGAAGGAGGGGGGTGGAAGGGGAAAACGGCGTCGGGAAAGGGAGCGTGGGGGGATAGGGAAAATGGTAGGCCAAGACGGTAGCGGGGCAGGACGGGGAAGAGTGTGAGGGGTGATTGAGGTACGGAAAGGGACGGAGACTAATGTTATCTCCAAATCCCTGCCACAAGAAACATCACCATCACACAATCCCATCGACCACCTCTGACCTGTCACACTAACCTGACCTCCCGAACAGAAACGAGCGGATGCGAAAACAACGACGAAATGGGATCCTCTAATTCAACAGGGTAAATCTCCTCAGTGAAAACCGTCGTATAAGCCTGGTAAGATCGCTTTAACCAAGAGCTTTCCAGGCCTTTCTGATCTGAGATGATACGATATGATATGATACGCTGTGGGAAGAGGAATGTCGGATAGGAGGAGGCGCCGGAAGGCCTCTCACCTCGCTGTGGCCTTTTTGGAAGCGCTTCCAGGTTCTGCAAAGGAGATATGTTCAGCATAAATGGGTACATCACAGCCTATTAAATTAACAACGAGTCCGTCTTTAAAGAGTCTGTCGCAACCTCTAGCGGCAAGGGAATCCCGGAAAGTAACCCACTTGGTATCAGATTGTCCCGTGAAGAGGAAGATACCGGGTTATGGAGAGAACATTCGCGTGATAATAACGAAAAGGGGAAACAGGTAGGCAGCAGAGAATAAGATAGGCGTGATTATGACGCGGAAAAGGCTCCAAGAATAAATTAGCCGCATTCGGAAAGAGAAAAAAAAAACCGCACCGGGAAATGCTTAACTGAGCAGCTGTACCTTCCCCGGGTGTGTCGTGCTTGGCGTTGGGATTGATAGTTCCTCCTCGCACAAATGCCTTCGGTTTCTTATCATCCACTTTAAAAGACTCGACGAATTCATCGTAGACACGCGCCGCCTCCTCCGCTTCCCGCTGCAAGACGAAACATTAGAGTAAAAGAATGATAAGTGGCACATGAAAAGACGAAACAGAAAGGTTATAAGCTACAATTGAACGAAGGCTGGAGCAACATCTTGAGACCTAGAAACATGAAGGACGCAAAGCAATTATTAGTTGGGAGATAAGAAATTATCCTAAATCCTCCAATAGCGACGACTTACCTTTTTTTTCGCCTCCTCTTCGCGATGCTTCTGAAACGGGGTTTTCTTCTTCGCTAACGAAAACGCCTTCATCGTGGCTCGGCGAGCGGTTCGGTTCGTCGCATCAATCAACAAATTACGCAGTAAGAGCCTGATATTTCATACATTAGTGGGCTCGATTAACCAAGGACGCAGGTAAGCCTTGATCTGTGCTGCGAGACTTGATTCAGACTGCTTTGTGATGTGAGTGCTGCAGGCGATTGCTGGTTGCTGAGAGGAAATACCTTGCTCGCACACGATTGGCTGGGAGGAACGCCTTGGGGATGGTTTCTTCAACACCTCGATTGTGTCGGGTGTGAGATACGATATCGCGATTGATTTTTTTTTTTTTTTTTTTTTTGATAATGTATGTATACACCAGTGAGCAAGCATATACAAAACAAAACGGTCGTAACCGTGCGTGAGGAGATAGAAAAAACAAGTTTCCACTCCAGAGGGGATGAATCTAGGGCCTGATGGGTCGTGCCCTCCGATGAAGCCAGATTGCAGCGAAGCTGTTCGTCCACTTCCACTCCTTGCCATCCAGTTTGATCCTCTGCAGCATGTCCCGCTCATCCAAAACACACCGGTGATTCTGCTTCCGCCACGTCACCCCATTTTTCCGAGAGTACCGCTTGGCATGCTGCCGGAATGCGAACTCTATCTTCCTGAGAACCCGCTGCGTCCGAAACTTGCTGCCCCGAAAAACAGCATCACACCGCTCGAGCCATAGCTGATGAAACGTGATTGTCGTTAGCGTCAGCTCCGGGAAAGCAGAATTGGTGCCAGTTGCCCGGAACAGCAAGTCACCCAACGAGGTTATTGTGCGATTGGGGTTGAGCATGCTCAGCGCGCGCTTGAGGGCACTCGTGACCATTTGGATCCGCGGGCAGAGCACGAGACAGTGCTCCAGAGTTTCCTCCCCTCCACAGTACGGGCAGATAGGTTTGCTGCTGAGAAAAGCCAGGCGTTCCCCCACCTGCAGATTGAGACCGTGGATTCTCAGAAGCACATCCCTCGGACGACTGGGAACTGCCAGAGAATCCCTTGTGTCCACCGCTCTTTTCCAATCGATGCTTTCTCCCCATCTCGCCGCCCATTTCTCCCTCTTGTATGACTCCTTATTAAACCCCGTCCAGCACTCCCTCATCCGCTTCAAGGCAATGACCTGCCCGTTCTCCAGAATAGGCAGCTGGGGGGTTGAGTCAGCCGAGCGGGGAAGCACTGTTGGGAAGCCGAGCACCTTTAGCCAAGGTGCGGGAATCGTACTCAGCACCTTCAGCGCCATCCTTGCGAGAGCGCTCCCTCCGAACTGCAGAGATAGCTCCTCCACAGATCTCTGAGCTAAACCGCCATCTGCATCCTGCTCTAGCAAATCGCCTAGCCGCACCTTCCAGAGCCCTTGCGCCACTTTTTGTCCGCCAAGCGGGGTTGTCCCGTTTAACAGAAAAGCTGTGTTGAAAGCTATCCTCTCCTGCAGGATCTCCTCCCTAGTCACCGCCGTCGGGTGCACATAGCGGGGACTGCAGCAGGCTCTCGCACGTCTGCCTCCACCGCACGCTCCGCCCCGTCCAGTGTTTCAGTAATTTCTCATGCGCCGTGAAGGTATCCGTTCCCATCGGTAAGTCCGCCGCCTGCGTCATGATGTACTTCTTAAGACTATTGGTTTCCGTGAGAAAAAGCCCCACCCTTCGTGCGGCCAGGCAGGTGAGTACAATTCCGGGGTCCCGCACTCCAATACCGCCGGCTGCTCTAGTAGTGTGTACCAACTCCTTGCTCCATAGCACAAAGCCCCTGGCTGTCGTCACTTTGTTGCCAAAGATGAAACCGTGTAGCAGCCGCGTAAGCTCAACCCACACCTCTACAGGTGGGGGATAAACTTGCGCTTGGAAGGCCACTATTGGGGTGATGTAGCAGTTCACCACGGTCGCTCGGGCTGATATCAGATATCAAATGGCAGCTGATATCGCGATTGATGATGGGTTTGGTCCAGTTTGTAAATGATACGGGTATCAGTTTGACTTAGGTGAATCAGTCATCTCTCAATTTGTAAGTACACAAGGTGTTTTACAGAAAATTCAATTGCTGATCCACGGTATCTGTACAACAAAGCAGGGAGCCTAGTTGCAGAGCTCCTCTCTGACGTAGTCAGCATCAGCAGTCATCTCAATGTCCACAGAAAGGCGCAGGGAGGCATGCGCATCGCTGGCGAGCGATGGCTGTCAAGATAGCAAGCATGGATGATTGCATTGAATGAAATGTGGGTACAAGTACTAACCCTAACTGCGGGTTGTACCCCATATGGGCTACCCCAATATAGCCTACACAGAGCTAACACATATATAGTTTGACACACCCCCATAGGCAAAGTGGGGGAGGATAAGAGGTCACAAGACCAGTCAAGAAAAGCATGTCATAATGTATTTGCTGTCTAGCCTGCAGTGGGGTACTCTGTAATGAGTACAACCCAATTTAGGGTGTTGTACTTGTATCCCAACTCTTGCTAGTGAAACCACATTCTCCTTCTCAACTTTCTCGACATTCACCTTACACCCTAAAACCTAAGCTACTAAGGCACCTAAACTATGGCTTCTAAGCCTACAACACTCTAGAACTTTCACAAAGCAAAGCAAAGCAAGCTCAGAGTGGATCACAACGTCACCACACACTCGAGCACAAGCAAAGGGGCCACAAGGCCAGTTCACATGCAGAGGTATATGCGCAACAATAACAGTACAGTGATCACTACCTAGCAAGAGTAAATATGCAGGTATACATATATAGATCACAGTACAACCAGAGTCTACAGCAAGTGAGGAAACGTAGGCACCAGGCCTAGAGCAGTGCAGAAGCGCTGATGATCATCAGCCGGAAGGGCCTTGGTGAACACATCAGCAGTGTTGGCCCATGTGGGCGCGTGAGCGACACGAAGCTGACCACGCTGCTGCAACTCTCAAGCAAGGAAGTAACGCAGAGCGATGTGCTTCGTTCTGCGCTCCAGTCTGTGCTCCTAACACAAGGCGATGGCGGTCTTGTTGTCGACGTACAGAAATGGAGGAGAACGAGGCCTCTCTCCCAAGTCGGTCAGCAGGTAGGTAAGCCAGCGTAACTCCTTTGCAGCCATGGCCCCAGCGTAGATCTCAGCCTCACAACTGAAGCTGAGAACAGAAGACGAGCGTGTAGACTGCTAAGACACAGAGCCAGAGCCAAGACTGAAGGTGTAACCCTGTGACGACCGCTGCGTAGCCAGGTCGTCAGCCCAAGAAGCGTCCGAGTGCCCAGTGAAGACAACGTCGCCCCGTCTGTCGAGGGTAAAGGGAAAAAGGCGGTTGCACTATCGAGAAAGTTGGGTACAAGTAACAAAAACTATACCCTACATTAGCTACCCCACTAAAGCCTACATTTTATTATGACATAGGCATATAATTTGACACACCCCCGTAGGCAAAGTGGGGGAGACTAGGGGGTCACAAGACCAGTCAAGAGAAGTAAAGCAAGCTCAGGGTGGATCACAACGTCACCACACACACTGAGCACAAGCAAAGGGCCACAAGGCCAGTTCACATGCAAAGGTATATATGCAACAACAACAATACAGTGATCTCTACTTAGCTGAGTAAGCATGCAGATATATATATAGATCACAGTACAAGCAAAGTCTACAGCAAGTGAGGAAAAGTGGGAACAAGGCCTAATAAAGTGCAGAAACGCTGATGATCACAAGACGGAAATGCCTTGGTGAATATATCAGCAGTGTTGGCCCGAGTGGCCACGTGTGCAAGACGAAGCTGACCACGCTGCTGCAACTCTCCAGCCAAGAAGTAACACAGAGCGATGTGCTTCGTTCTGTGCTCCAGTCTGTCCTCGTGACACAAGGCAATGGCGGCCTTGTTGTCGACGTACACCACTGGAGGAGAAAGAGGCCGCTCTCCCAAGTCGGTCAGCAGGTAGGTGAGCCAGTGTAACTCCTGTGCAGCCATGGCTGTGGCGTAGATCTCAGCCTCACAACTGGAGCTGAGAACTGAAGACGAGCGTGTAGAACGCCAAGAAACTGAACCAGAGCCAAGGTTGAAAGTGTAACCCTGTGACGACCGCTGCGTAGCCTGGTCGTCAATCGAAGAAGCGTCCGAGTGACCAGTGAGGACAACGTCGGCCCGTCCTCCAAGCACGAGCCCCATGCCCGATGTACTGCACAAGTAGCCCAGTACCCTCTTAGTAGCATCCATGTGCACCTTTCGGTGCCGACCAGGAGCCACGTAGCAAGCCAGAAGGCCAAGAGGGTACACGAGGTCAGGACGAGTGCAGGTCATCAGGTACATGAGGCAGCCAACTAGCTCCGGGTAAGGACCACTCGGCTCTACGGACTCGTCCGAAGGTGGAGCTGAGAGCGAGTAACCTGTAGCCAGAGGAGTGGCCTGTGCCGAGGACCAGGTGAAGCCGAAGCGCTGAAGGACCTGCTGCACCATGTGTGACTGAGTCAGGTAGATGATGCGGCGTGCTCTGTCCCGGGTGATCTGCAAGCCAAGGTAACTGCGCAGCTCACCCAGGTCTGTGCACGTGTGTCTCTTCTGCAGCTCTGACTTCACCAGGGCGAGAGCCTCAGTGTCAGCAGTGGCAAAGACCAAGTCGTCGACGTATACGAGGATGTAGAACGGCGGCAAAGAGGTGTCGGTGCGCAGAAACAGCGACGAGTCAGCAGTCGACGGAGCAAACCCAAGGGCCGCAAGTGTCGTCCTCAGTGTATCGTGCCACTCACGTGGCGCTTGGCGGTGCGGAGAATACTATTCTACGGGAGAGCTTGAATAGCGTGGGACACACGGTCAGAGTTCTGGCAGTGTATCTGAGAAGTTGACTTAGTTGCCTTGGTAGAATTCAAGCATAGTTCCACTAGCAAAAGTTCATAGAACAAGAATATGATACAAGCAAAGAGAATAAATAGCAAAGACAGTGAACCCCGTAGAAACGTTCCTCGACAAGCACCTGAATCGGTCGAGTCAGCAACGGCAGGTGAATCGACAAGCACATGCATATTTCACCTGAGTTGGTAGTTGCTC